TTAGGTATTTATTGAGCATTTACTTCGTTGGGCTTTGAACCCAACAGACGAGTTTCAGCCATCCTGAGCCCACACAAACATCCCGAAGTATAAAGCCAGGGAGGATTTCAAGTTAGGCACAGGTGAAGGTATATATGGCTGTTGTGTGCGGTTCTCTTTGATCATAGATGCTGATTGTATGAAACCATTACCTTATAACATTTAAAGATATCAGAGTGTAAACCTTCAAATAAATCAATACAGGTTATAAGGAGGATAGATTTTCTGTGTCCAACCTGACATTATTGGATTCAACAGTGAATCTTCAAATATGTCTATACATTCTTTGTTACTATGTTTCATGATATTAAAAAAAAGGAACTAGTAAGTTGAAAAAAGTACTTCCAAGGATGTAAACATGAAGATATTTTAGTAAAGAAAGATCTCTCTTCATATGGTAAGACTGTCCTACCAGAGCACCTACATGGTGGCTCACAATCCTAACTCCAGTCCCAGAGGATACATCGCCCTCTTCTGGCCTCCTTGGACACTGCATGCACATGGTAAACAGGCATACATGCAGGCAAAACATCCATACACATAAACATAAAAATAAATACAAAACAAGTTTTTAAAAATTAAAAAAGGACTTTGCCCTAGAGTGTGATGGCTGGATTTTTCCCAAATGAGATTGATTAATACACATGTCACAGAAAGACCTGGGCAAATTGCATGAGGTTTATAAAGGATGAGACTAGCCAGAGGACCAGGCAATCTGCTGTGAGACTGTTTCCTTGAAATGATAGGAAGGCAGCTGGGAGGTGTTAATCCCAGCAGAGACAGGCTGATTATTTTTTAAGGTTTTTATTTATTTATTTATCATGTGTACAACATTCTGCTTCCATGTATATCTGCACACCAGGAGAGGGCACCAGATCTCATAAGGGATGGTTGTGAGCCACCACGTGATTGCTGGGAATTGAACTCAGGACCTCTGGAAGAGCAGTCGGTGCTCTTAACCTCTGAGCCATCTCTCCAGTCTGACAGGCTGGTCTTTATGAGTTCCTAGTCCACAAATCAAGTTCCATGCCAGCAGGGGTCATACAGTGAGACATGGTCTCAAAATCAAATGAACAAATAAGTAGATAATAAACAAATAAAATTTCCATTTCTGAGGGACATACATATACTTTTTCCTTACCCCATACATCATAACAATTATTGGCAGCATTTACATTGTGGTGGTATTACAGGTAACCTAGGGGTGGCTGAAAGCCTGAGAGAGGGTGTGCATCTGCCACACTCAAACACTTCAGCATCTTATATTGAATTGCCCAAAGTAACTCCATTCTGACCCAGTTTTAGTGCACCTAGACGTTCCCCAACCCCCTGCTAAGTACATCCTCTATTCTCATGTTGCCACAGCTGTAGCTTCCAGGGGTCTGCTGTTGTACAACACAAAACAAATTGTTTTAGTCGGAATACAACCTGTCTGGCTATAAACAGGAATGGATGGCTGTTGGCCAGGTCAGGACCTATGAGCCCTAAACAAGGCGACTGTTATCCCACACCCAGTGGTCTGTAGCCTCTGCCCTCTCTGGAGTCTCATCCCTGCTGATGCTGCATTCATCATGTGTCTGGATGCCTTTTTTTTTTTTTTTGGTTTTTCGAGACAGGGTTTCTCTGTGGCTTTGGAGGCTGTCCTGGAACTAGCTCTTGTAGACCAGGCTGGTCTCCAACTCACAGAGATCCACCTGCCTCTGCCTCTCAGTGCTGGGATTAAAGGCGTGCACCACCAATGCCAAGCATGGATGCCTTTTTCTGTATCCACCTGGCCCCTCAGAGCCAACCAATCCTCACCTTCCAATAGAAGAAACCTGAAAAGGATGACAAGGGCCAGTTAATGTGGACTAGACTGCCTCAATGATTCAAAACTTCTCAAACTATTTTTGGCACTGAGGTAGCCTCTGATTTAAAAGCCTTCCCAGCAGATCAGCATGGCTGAACTCTGCTCCAGTGGGTAGATGAGCTACTGCTGGCCAGACAGGTGCAGGAAGATTATGGAGAATGAAAACAACTGCTCTGTACCCTTCTGTGGGAGGTGGCTACATGATTTGAAAGAAAACAGATGCAAATCTGTCAAGAAAAAGTCAAATGCCTTGGTTCTCACCTATCCCAAGAGGAGCATTGACTCAGCCCAGCTGTTGGTTATCGAGGTTTCATCGACCTAACTCTAGGTTTGGGAGTTCCTCAGGGCCACAGATTTTGGTAGAATCTGAATATCTAATTTCCCTGTCTTGTCAAAATGACTATATGAGACCACAAAGGAAGAGAGCAAGACCCTCTGCCATAGGAACAAGCACAACAGAAGGCTTTTGAAGATATTAAGAAAGTCCTCACTGATGTGTCTGACCTTAGGACATTCAGACTTGTCTACACACACTCGTGTGCATGCATGAACATGTTGGCATTAGGATGGGTGGAGTTCCTTCCACAAATGTTGGTGTCGTGGCATTGCCTAGTGGCATACCTTTCCAATCAACTCCATTCCCCAAGCCTGGCCACCCTGGCTCCTAGGCACTCACTGTCATTGCCATCCTAGTGTTAGAGGCTGACAGATTGACTATGGGAAAAGAATTAATAGTCTTAGTGCCACACCCAGTACTGACATTAATGGAGTGCAAGGGACAATACTGGCTAACTAATGCCTGGATGGTCAAGTACCAGGAAATGTGTGAGAACCTGAATATTCACCTAGAAGTAGTGTGGACCTCAAACTCTAGTAGACCCTAGTATTTGTTGATCTAGACCAGCAAGACCATGACTGCATCAAAGTCACGGATGAGGTATTTTCTTACCAATTGAACTTAACTCTCAAGGACCCTGGATGCTGAGTATTTGACAAATGGTAGCAGTTTTGTGATAGGGAGAATATCTTTCACGATACTTCATTGTCAACTTGAGTTCCATCATTGAGATGAAATCTCTGCCAAAGGCAACCTCAGCACAAAAGGCAGAACTCATCTCACTGACCTGAGCCCTGCTATTGGCAGCAGGGATGTGTGTCAGTATACACATATACTCTCAAATATGCCTTCACCACTGTCCACATACATGAGACTTTAAAGACTACAAAGTGCCTAGTCAACTCAGTGGTGGCTCACACCTTTAATCCCAGCACTTGGGAGGCAGAGGCAGGTTGATCTCTGTGAGTTCCAGGACAGCCAGGGCTACATAGTGAGACCCTGTCTCCTAGCTGGCCAGCTCTTGAGGCCACATTAGGCTGACATTTCTACATCCCTTGACTCCACAGTTTAGCCCAGGTGTGCAGACCATGTGAATCATGTTCCTGAAATAACCTACACTGGGGATCTAAGTTCTTTTCTAGGGTACAGAGTGTTGGAGGAGTCCCATTTGAAAACTGACTTGTGAACTTCACTGAGCTTCCTCAATCTTTGACTGCAAGTATCTATTACTCTTTATGTATGCATTCTCAGGCTGGGTAGAGGCCTTCTTTACTAATGAAGAGAAGGTGCACCGTCTCCTAAAGAAAATCATTCCCAGATTTGGGATCCCAATCATCAAAGAGTCTGGTAATGGGTTAATGTTTGGGGTGGCACAATTGGTGGCAAAGGGGTTGAAGATCACCTGGACACCACATACTGTCCCAGAGCTCTGGGAAGATGGAATGAATGAAACTGCAGCTGAACAAAAAACCATGAGGGGAAACCTACCTGTACTAGGACCAGCTATTGCCTATTACTTTGTTGAGTATTAGGTCTAGCCATACTGGACAGACAGGGTTCTCCATTATCCTTTGTGGATTCCTGTCTCTAATACAGAGCTGTGTAGCATTGCTCTGAGATGACAATTGTCGACTCTTGGTTTGTCCCTGATTATTGTACACCATCGAGTTAGGGGGTGGTTACCTGCCAGCTTGAGCACAGATGGTCACCTCTCTAAACCAGGACATTCCGTATGGGTAAAAGGAAGGAATATCTAACCCTCTCGTCCCTTTGAATGGGTCCGTTCACTGTCACTTTGTCCATGCCTATTGCAGTAAAGGTGGTCCCCTAAGTTCCCCACAGCAGAGTGAAACCGGCCTCTGGAGACTGGGAATGCACTTAATGATTCATCAATAATATGACTCACTCATACAAGCTGACCAGCTGGAGGAAGAGAGCTGCGATGCCAGATACCCTGGAGGGCTGCTGCCCCACTTGAGTCACTCCAGAGGCTGACTAATCTGTGTGTGACAGAAACTTGAGGGATTGGCCATCTGGTGGCATAGACTGTTCCTGTTTCCGGTATCAGTTCTTACTGTGATACATTGCCATCCTTTGTCCCTGATCTGTTGCTGTGATCCTTGCCCTAACCTTTGCCATAGGGCTGGCAGAGACCACTCTAGTCAACTAGATATGTGGTGAATGGCTTCTGTTGGTGTTCTTTTTCCTCTTGTGGGCAGGATAATTCATTGCTGGCTGCTACCCTTCTGGGCTTTGTTTTTAGACTTAAGTGTGTCTCCTGCAAGCTGTACCACTTGACATGACCAGAAGGACATCATGAAAACCTTACTCTATCACACCCATTTCACTGGCCAAGGAAAGGTCTTAGGGCCCTACAGACATGATAAGACCACTATTCCATCTGCCAACTGGGAGATCAATATACCTGTCTCAACCCACAGTACTCCCCCATTGAGAAGTACATAGAAGTCTGGAAATGGTCCAGTGGAACCAGACTAACTGAATCCAAGTTATTGACCCAAAACAGCCAGCATCCTTATATTTTGACATGTGTGGCACCATAAGTCACACCCAGTCAACTTATAGTGAATCATGTGTGACTCTATATTGGGAACTAGAGTACAGACTTAATGGTAAGTATATTTGTGAGGAGTTGTAGTTATGTCTGGATATGTAGTTATATACTGGTGTTACTGACCCTATTGGAGCTGTGGTTCATGGACCACTTGGAAGGATAAAGATAAAACAGCTCTCCTCCAAAGGACATTGCCACCACCAGCCATAAATTGGGAACCTATAGTCCTGTTCATTTTACTATCCTCATTGTGTAACGGTTTCCTCTAATCAAAACATTCCATCCTTCCAGGAAGCTCCTTAACCAGGAAGGTAAACAACTCAACATAGCTTCAGAAAGTTCCTGAAACAGACCAGATTTACTAGGCCCCTTGCTCCTAGAGTAAGTAGTAAAGACTGCTGAGGATCTCAGACAAGCCAAGCTGAAAAGAAAACAGACCAGACCAACTGCCTGGAAGAGGGTAGAACAGCTGAGCTCGATGGAAAGGACATTTTCCAGTCTTTTGAGTTGCCTCCAGGCTGTGCAATGCACTCCAGGTTCCGGTTTTGTGAGCTGTCACTGATACTGGGCTGGGCTTTGGTGATACAGCTGTCTTTGAATCATTTCTGCTCCTGTAGGTAAACCCCTCAACTCCTGTAAACAACCCCAATAAAACTCATTGGTTCACAAAGTTGAACTTTAGTGGTATCCATACTTTTATGTGGACTCCTTATGCAGGTTAAATACACGTGTATAACATCTCCCCAAGAAAAGTTTTGTCACACAACAGTCCTCCATCCAAAAGACTTGAGATGGAAGAATGGTCACAAAATGGTTTTTTATCTTGGGTGTAACCAAGACCCAGTGAAGGGTAAAAGGCCCAAACCCACTTCCAGGTTTGAGGTGGATTCACCAGTCCCTGAGCACGAAATCCCACCAATTCCTGAGCTTGGCTTGAAATCTCATCAATCCCCACCCTGGAAAACTCCCCCAATAAATTCTATATCATCCTGTCTCCTGCTCAATTCCCTGCTGCCTCTTGCCGCAGCAGCCTCAACCACCCTCTTGTGTCTCTCCCAGTAAATCTCTTGTGTGAGGTTTGTTGTGCAGTGTGACTTTGTGGTATTTCTTGGCTCCTGACTTCCAGGATACCTTTCTCTTCAGAGCTGAATACTTACATAGGGGAAACCAACCTCTCCCCTCAGAGCTGCAACACTTACATAGAGGAAACCTCTCCCCTCAGGTGTAACAAGTCCATTGGAAGATTTCTCCTCAGAGCTGCAACACTTGTATTGGGAAAAACTTTCCCCTCAAAGCTGTAACACTTACACCCTGGATCCCTATTGCATATCAAAAGAGCCACAGTCCCACTCTAAGCCTCATTTCATGAGGTTTTTCATTCATTTTTTGAGGAGATATAAAGTAGCCTTTCCCCATTCTTTGCTACAGCAATAGAAGTCCTGATGAAGACAGAAATTGGTTCTTCGCTAAGCAGGAACCCCAAATATATAATGCTGTTTATCAGAACTTTTTAGCCTTGGATTACTTGCTTGCCTCAGAGAGAGAGAGAGAGAAGTTTGTGGCAAGTTTAACCTGAGCAACTGCTGCTTATAAATAGATGATGAAGAAAGGGTCATAGAAGAAATCAAAGAAGGTATGAGAAGAATCACTCTGTGTCTCAGTCCAGATCTGAAGAGGCTGAAACTCCAGGGAATTGCTTGGGGATTGATTTTCAGCTTTAGGAGAATTCAAACCTTCATAAATGTTATACTTTTTGATTTGGGAGACTTTGCTGAACTAGTCTGTTAGGTCTCAGGCAGTGCATGAGTACAAGCTGGACTACAGAAGGATTTCTAGTGGTTATATAAAAGCCAGCATTCCTCAGGAACTTGTGAAATGAATTCTCCAGCTTCCAAAAGAAGTAATTAATTTTGCCTCTGGAAGAAGGGACATATGGCTCTCCATTGACATATACCTGTGGTTGCTTATCAAAGCCCATGATAGCCTCCAAGCTCCCTTATTCCCTATTCCCATTTCAAAGCCTCATGCTAGAGTCCTGGCCCCTCTCACCCCACCTCTACCCCAAACTCCTAGGCTGCTCTAGCTCATGGGCTCTCCTCCTTACAACCGACTATACTATTCCCTCCCTTGCCCTCTCCCCCACTCTTCTCTCTTCTCTGCTTCCCTATCCCTGGCTGTGTCCAGCCTGTTTCTCTTTCGTCTGTTCTGGACTCTTCCAGATTCCTCTGGCTGTTCTCTCCCTTCCCCCTAATGGAACTGCCATTTCATCTGTTTCTTTACCATGCCCCTTGTTATTCTTTTGTTTAAAAAGAAGAAAAGAGAAATGCTGAGACAGACATATTGACTATAAGTTTATTATAAGGCCCGGCAGAATGGGGAGACTAAGAAGAGGAACAGGGTAATGGCTGACCGCCATGGCAGGTCGCCATAGAGAGACAAAGCGAGAGCATAGGTGGGAAACAGAGTAGAGACAAAGCAGAGCGGGGAAACAGAGGAAGGGAACAGAGAGAGGGAACAGAGAGCATAAATGGGCAGGGGCCTATCTTTTAAAGGGGTCCTCTGTATCTGCGTGCAGACTTAGTTCCCATGGAACCTTGGGCTGACCAGGGTACTGCCTGTTCCACCAGGTAACAGGGGCAGGCCAGCATAATGCCTGAACCTTTCACCCCTCACATACACTAAGCTGCCTGTCTCCACTAGTAATAGTCTGTCTCTAGCCTCATTGAGGCCATGGTCAAAAGATGGCCACTCATGTAAACCCTTAAACCAAGATGATGATCTTTGAACTCAACAGAGGGAGTTCCAAGCATCAAAGGGGAGGAATGTGGTAAGGGCCTCCACATAAGGATGACAAAGGGGCTAATGTGTAAAGGAAAGCTAATGAGTATATAAGGCAACATACCCAGGGCTTGGTTTTTTGAGTGTGAATCAACTGGGCTAGTGCTAGCACAAATAAACGCTGCATCCTGGCAGATAGCCTTAGTGACCTGCCTCCGTAGGAGAATCTTGCAACAGTCTGAATAAGGGACCGTCCCTAGCAAGGCAGAGTTGTTTTGAGACAATTTTCTTTTCTTTTGCAGAATTTCTGCCCCCTAGTGCAGCCCCTAGGAGCCAAGCCTCCTGAGGGTTGGTGGCTCTGAAAGGAACAACTATTCCCCCTCCTCTTCCTCATGCTAGCCAGAACCCAAGTATGCTTTGGGACTCCTTTTATCTTTCCAAAGATGCTTGACTACCTGCCACCCCGCGTCTGACCTGCGCTGCTTCCCTTCCAGGCAGCTCTGAGACTTACAGCTTTCCTGCCCTAAGACATAGCAAGCTTTTTTATTCATGTACCCGGGCTGCTGTCCACTAAGGTGGGGTTCAAGAGGTCAGCATTGGATGTGAGGGAGACAAGGATTTTATAGCTCAGGAGTAGAGAGGGTTTCCAAATGGGGGGTTTGGCTGGCAAAATAGGCAGGGTTACAGGAGCAGAACATAAGCACAAGTTAGTCATAACAAGTTCTTGAAAGACATGATTGCCAGGAGGTTTGCAAGGTGGTCTAGTAAGATAGTCACTAACAACAAGTAGTCATAACAACCTTTTGAAACAAAGGGTCGCAAGACGGTTATAAACAACTTTCTGAAACAAAGGCATGGTTGTCCTTTCCTGGAACAGGCAGTACAGAACCATTTGTAACTAAGGTGGGGCATCGCGCAATACTTGAGAAACGGAGGTTTAATCATAACAAGGAACAAACCTAGTATGTCTTTACTATAAGATGGCTTTTAAGCCTAAATGGAGGCAGGCTGGTTCATTAATAACACTTTTTTCCTGCCTTGTAATTCCTTAATTGGCAGAGAAAAGGAGCCGTTCTTGCACCCCTAGACAGTATCAATCAGGCTTGGCAGCAAGCACACCATAACCTACTCAGCCATCTCTCACTCCCGCTTTTTCTCTTTCTAAAAAACACTTCATGAGATTTTTTACAAGTGGGAAAAACAAGAGAGAAGCCAGACACTCAATTGCACAGCTGCTAAGTGGTTAAAAACAGTCCCAACAGACTCCAGCCTAAATTCTCAAGAAAATAAAAAAAACCTTCCGGAAGTGACAATGGAGCTGTGTCGGAAGTATGCAGCTAAGTGAAAAATGTTCGGCCTTTATTAGCTAAACGAGGCACAGATGTTTTGTGCTTAAATATTAGTCCTTCCTTCCTTCATTATTTCCATTTAATGAGATTTCACAAGCGCACTACAGCTAGAGGCGAGGGAGAGGAGCTAACTTCCGGCGACTAGCGGAATTGTTTCCATGGAGACAGAAGGGGGGGGTCCTCAGCCAGGGGGGAAA